ATATGTGGTTTATAAACGCAATGGTTTACCGGGCTTAGTGATTTTAAATGTTCTCTTATCAATCGCTTATTATTACCGCCAAGAATTAAAAAAATATGCTGACCTGTGAGGTAAATATTTACTAATTATTGGTTACATTACCGGTAATGTTCTCGCTTACTCCGCTCCGGAACAAGAAAAATATAAATGACCGGCTGTAGCTGGTTTTAATGCTTGTGTGCTAGCCATCTATGCTTATACCCTTTACCAACAAAAACAAGAGTAAGCTAAAATTGAAACTCATTATCAGCAAAAGTCGCAAGAAATTCTTACCACCGCCAATTTCACCGCTGAAGAACAGCAAAAAGTAAGGGGTGGAGTAATTACGGAAGATAATGCTCCCCAAATATTAGGATTTGATAATCCTTTTAATAATCTTCCTACTTCACAAAAAGCGGAACAATTTAGTCAGTCAGTCCAAGAACAAGTCGTAGCAAAACAACTCGCTGAACAAATGGCTCAGCAAAAAGAACTAGAAATCCAACAACAAACTGAAACTCTGCAAAAAGCTGCCGAGATCGAACAAAAACTTAAAGAAGCCCAAACTAGTTTAGGCGAACCAAGGATAACTTGGAATAAAATTAAGCAAACTTATCCGGAATTTGCCAACCAATCAATGCTGTTAGGCGAATTGGAAAAGGCAGATAGATTACTAGAAAAAGAACCAAAAAGCGACCAAATTTTAACTAAGCGGTTAGCAAAATTACCAGTTCTTAGCGAAGCAGAAACTAATTTATTAAGCGGTCTAAATTTAACGATTGAGCAATATATTGCTATTTCCTTAAAAACTCCTTACTTAAATGAAGCAGAAAAAGAGTTGATAATACAAAACTATCCAAGCTTAGATTTATCAACCAAATTACAGTTAATTAATAGCGGTCTAAATAGTTTAGGAATTGATAACTTAGAAAAGAGCAATTTGTGGAATTAATTCTAACTTTAAGCGAGGAAAAACAATTATTTGGTTTATCTGTAAAAGAAAAAGAAAACATTCTCAAATTTATTCACTCTACGATTAATCTCACTGAAGAACAAAAAGCAGCCTTGGAAGAAATGGGGATTAAACCTTATAATGCTAGTGAATGAACGGTTACTGAAGAACAAAAAGACCATTTATTAGATTTTGGTTTAAATAAATTAAAACTCGCTGAGGAACAGCAAGCCAACTTAACTAATCTTCATTCGGATCAATT